AGCGTGAAACCCGAGCGAGGGAGGCGGCCTGTGCCGGCCGTGTGCAGCGCTGGGCGCGGGGAGCGGCCGCAGCCAGGCCTTCGCGGGGGTTACTTGGCTCGGGCACAAATAAATATGAACCTTGATGTTCGTGGTTTAGTTCCTGTTCCAAAGGGCCGTGTGGGATCAGGGAACAGCATTATACGTAACAAATCTTATATTTGTCTCTCTGGTCAGAGCTAAGGCATCTTCTTACTGGCTTTAAACCTCACCCCATCTTTTCCACTTTCCAACCTAAAATTTATGTTCGTCTGTGAGAGAAATGGAAACTACCTGTTTTGTGTAGTACTTGTGTAAGATAATGGCAATACTTGAAAATGAGGAAACTATTTTAAATATTTAGTCTTGACAGTGCTGTAACCTTTTGTGTTCTTTGTTTATGGTTATTGCATTTTAAATAACATCAAGTTTATTTTATACTTTAGGTATATGATGAGAAGGATTATAGAAGAGTTAGATTTGTTGGACGACAAAAGGAGGTAACTCATTCTACTTCTACTCACAGGAAAACGAGTGATTTGTGCTTTTTTAATATCTGATATTCATGTCCTCAACTTGATTGTTATTATTAAAAAAAACCCAAACCAACCAAAAAACAAACTACCCAAACCCCACAACTAAAACCAACCAAACAAGAACAAAAAAACCCCTACCAAAACCAAACTATTTTGGATTTTGGTGTTTTTTTCCACCATGGTGAAAAGTCTTCTTTTAAGACAGCTTATAGTACCAGCTTCTGTGTACCTCCTTACTTTTGGTAAATTTGGAAAGTTCAAGACTCACCCTACACCTGTTAAGTCCTTACATGTAGGCTGTGGAAGTTGGAGGCATTTGCTGCATAGATAAAATCTTGGTCTTTACCCAAACTGTCTTTTTAACAAGGCCACTTAATTTCCAGAGCCTGGGAAGCATTTGCTGAAACAGTGCTGTAACAAATAAAACTAAAATTTTGGAGTATGCTGAAATAATGAAGCCTCAAAGGCAAAGTTGAGTAACACTAGCATCAGTCAGGTGTACTACTGTGAAGTTATCCTATGGATCTGTTGCTGCTTGTTATCAATATAGAGAGTATGTGGAATTGTAAGTCCTTTAGCACCAAGTCTCTTTAATGATCGAGCAGCACAGCTCCATGATGGATCTGCTGGTCTTTGGGAGAGAAACCGAGATTGTTTCAGCTAAATTGTATTAGTGCCTGGATCATCTGGTTAGTGCCTTGGTGTTAATGCTATAAATATGTATGTATAGAAGAGGTATTAACTATAAGGTGTGGTAGATTTTTAATGCAGTTGTGTATAGTTATTCCCTTCCTAAATTAACCTGAACTAATTATGCTGGTTTCTGAGTTTTCATATTGAGTTTACCTCATTATAGCATGGATACAGTTTAACTCCTGCTGTGTGGCAGAAATGGGGGTTCTACATGGGAAATGGTTAAATGAAATTATCCCTTAAAATGCTGAAGTAGTTTACTTCTGGGAGGACAGTGGCAAAGTAGGTCCTGCCCCCATGCAATGCCTGTTTTTATGCTACTTCTGTAACTTTATAGGAAACACTTGTTAAGCTGAGTTCTCTGTAGAGCATAGGTCTGTCTGATATGCCTTTGCCAGCAGCTGATTTTGGACTCACTTTTTATGTGGTGAGAACACCTGGTGTTTTCAGTTCTGCCCAGTTCCTCCTTCTCTAGAAAAAGCCAAGCTTTAAGTCTGCCGAGCAAGGTGTAATGCTAGGTTTTAATTGTGAAGCTGGAACATTATTGACATGTTAAATACTGAAACAATCTTCATCTGTGCTCATTAATGTGCTCTCTCTCTGAGCTTTGCCATTACCCTAGAAGATCCCCCAGTGTGCTTCAGCTGCTAGTCTTAGGATTTCACAGCTGTGTCTGTAGTCCAAATGTTGTCTTTTTTCTGCAGCTAAAGTTAGCCTGTGAAGCTGGTGGTGGCACTTTCTTGGTCACTTCTTTTCACCTTCACTACACTCCAGGTGGTTGAGTCTGGCTTGTGATTAGCATAGTCCAGCCACAGCAGCCTTCTTGTCTGGGGATGCAGCCTCGGGATGCTGGTGCCCTTGGTGAGGACATCTGGGCTGGCACCTGGGTACTGTATGTGGCCTGTCCAGGCAGTGGCCAGGCCTGGGGGCATGGCTCAGAGTATGTGAGTGTTGTCACCTCAGTTCTCCCAGCCTATTTGTTAATGAAATTCATGCGTTTTAGCTAAAATCATTGTTCTCTGTGCTGGATGTGCAGAACCAGGGGACTAGTGCTCTCTGGTAATGGCCTAAAGCAAATAGCTGTGGGAAAACTGAGCATGGCAGCTGCTAGGAGTTCAGCTTCTTGATCATGGTGCTATCTCTCTCCTTTAGCACACAAGGAAGGATGCACAACTTTGAGCATTATTAAAAGCAGCAGTAAAAAACCTTGCAAGTTAACTAGGATTGCGTATGACTTGTGCACACAGGTGCCAGGCAGTGAGGTTCTTGATGTTGTTGATTTACTTCAATACTGAAAGTTGGTTTTTTTTCGTTAACTTTATTTGGCTATCATTGTCTTTAGATAAAGAAAATCCTGTTGTTGGTAAAACTGACTTTTCAACTGCGGTACCAAAAATGCAGATTTTAGGGAGACTTAATTGGAGGCTTGAAGAACTTAGCTTGTTGTGTAGTAGAACTATATAAAAGTACCATTGTAATTCTTAAGTGTTCATTTAATGGACACTTAGCTACCTTGTACTTTTTCCTAAGAATCTCATCTTCATTCAAATACCAGCATGTTTATTAATCTTATATACAGAGCAGTAGGTAGTGCCTTCTTTGAGTGTGCATATTATTTTATATTTTAGCATGTATAACATTACTTTAGAAAAAGCTGACCCCTTCTGGAGCATGTTTAGCTGAGGGGTAGGGTTAGTTGTCTCAGAGCAGGTTGGAAGAGGCTGGCCTGGATGCAGGAGGAAAGCGCTGTGGCAGGTGCTACAGGTCCTGCTGGGCACAAGTTGCTGTGTGGGAGGCTTGTCCAGAGGTGGATATGTTTGCCAGGCCACCTAGGCATGCTCTAGGAAAAAGCCCTACTTGTTTGTGATGTGTGTGTGTTCAGGAACTGTGTATAAGAGGGATTTACAAAGTAGCATAGTGACATTTAGAGGTTTTTCTTTTTTCTAATGCTGAGCAATTTGCCTTTCTGACTGTTGTTGGGTACCATGTTAGTGTTTTCCTGAGATTCCTGTGCAGTGATGGAATAAGGTGTGTGGTGAGAGGCTCTAAATTACCAGCAGTTGTTTTATTTCACTCCTGACCTTGCTTGTCTCACATTTATCAGCAGTGAGTCTTTTGCAATTTTATTGTGTCATTGCTAAAGCACAATACAGAGGCAATGTCAGTTAAATATCTTCTGTTCTTGGCTGCTTGTTCCTGCTCACATTGCAAACCTGAGCACTGATGTGGCCTGTGTATCAGAGGAAGGGGATTACTTTTGCAAAGTTTAACGTGTGTACTTCAGTGATCTGGCCTGAAGAGGTGGGAACAAACGTGCACAACCTTCTCAGGAAGGCTGTAGTGGAACTCCTTTGGGAGGTGGTAAATAGCAATTGCTTTCTGTCTGAGTGGGGAAGATATCTGAAAGCTTCCTTTTTCTCTTACAGGTGAACGAGAATTTTGCAATTGATTTGATAGCAGAGCAGCCTGTGAGTGAAGTTGAAAGCAGAGTGATATCATGCGATGGTGGTGGTGGAGCTTTGGGTCATCCTAAAGTATATATAAACTTGGTAATATCTTTGTTCTGCGTATACATTTTGCCTGTAAATTCGTGTTTGTAAGATTATCTACCTTTTGGCATGTTAGTTTAGCAAAGTAAAAGAAGTAACCACCTGAGATGCTAATTTTATTTGGTGCCTAATATAAAATTAAGATTTCTAA